GAGAGAGAGACAGAAATATCAATGATGAGAGTGTCACTGATCGAGCCCGCAACCCGGGCATGTGCCCTGACCAGGGATCGAACCCAGATCGCCTGGATCCCAGGTCGACGCTCAACCGCTGAGCCATGCCCGGCCGGGCGGGAATGAACATTTTTAAGACCCCTGATATACCTATTAATCAACTTAAAAGGAAATGATGTATCTAGATAGTTACATAATACCATGGCAGTGTCTTCAAGAGGACCCAATGCTCTCGCTAGCTGTGCAAGTCTAGAAACCTGAGACACAGATGCCTCTGTGATCAAAACGAACTTACTTCAGACACACTAGGCAGATTTATATCATTTTAAATTTTGCATGTGCTTTCAAAGTTGAAGGGTTTCCTATAACTGACCAGACAGTATTGCTGAGTGAATGGGCTATTTATATCTTCCATAATGAATTTGAATAATTCCCATTACTATCTCATCTTTTCTTTGTTATTCACAATTAAGATGATAAAACTGCCAGTATCATTCTTAGAAAAGGCATACAGAAGGAAGAAAACACATTTTCATTTGGAAATGACCACTAATTGCTTCCTAAAGGCAGAATTAAACAGTAGTGGTTTATTGTCAAATCTGGGTGTCCCACCCCCCAAAAAATTTTTTTTAAAGACCCCTTTTCAATTCAAGGCAACTGGAAGAAATTCTGGAGTTACACCATCATTACCAGGATGTTACATCACTCAATCTTCCCTTGTTTGAGGACCCGGCTTTCGAAGGACTCTCAAAAGGCAGAGTAAGAGCAAAAGTTGAAAAAATATGCAGCTAATACTTAATATGGAAATACAAATAATTCTAAAAGCCCATACTCTGCCAATAAAAAACTAAATTATAGAAATACAACTCTAAGGAAGAAAGGTTAAGAGAAATATTTCATAGATTCAAAGAAGTCAACCTTTACCTTCAAATTAAGTGGGAAAAGCATGTTAACAGTTAAACCTGGAAAACAAGTTATAATGAAATCTCAGTTTTCTGCCTCCCTATTCCCTACATTTCCAATGTCAAAGTTCTAAAAGGAAACCTGAAGAATTAACAGAAAGCCCTGGCCGGGTTGTAGTGTCTTCCCATACACCGAAAGGTTGCAGGCTCTATTCCCATCAGTGCGGGTACAGGAGGCAACCCAACGATGATTCTCCCCCCGCCTCCCACCTTCCCCTCTCTCTAAAATCAATAAAAACATATCCTTGGGTGAGGAATTAAAAAAAACAATAATTAGTCCTAGCCAGTTCTGCTCAGTGGTTAGAGCATCAGCCTGTGGACTGAAGGGTCCTGGGTTCAATTTTGACCAAGGGCACGTACCTCAGTTGTAAGCTTGATCCCCGCCCTAGTAGTGGTGCATATGGAAGGCAACCAATCAGTGTGTCTCTCTCACATCGATGTTTCTATCTCTCCCCCCTCTTCTACTCTCTCTCTGAAAAGCAATGGAAAAAACATCCTCTAGTGAGGATTAAAAAAATAATGATTACTGGAAAGAGATCTGAACTTGGAATTAGGATGACTGAATTAGACTTCATAAAACGAATGATTAATTAATACCTAGAATTTGTTCAAGGCCCTGAATATACAGCAGTGAACAAGAGACAGACAAAACTGCTACCCTCATGAAGCTTACACAGGAAAAATACGCACTAACCTTTCTGGACCATGGTTTTCATCTGTAAAATTAGGGAAGTAGACTAGGTGTTTTTCAGACTGCGTCTCAAAAACACCAGGACTTCTAACTCTATTTTAACCAGAACAGCACTGCTTTTTATTGCTTTGTTGATCGGGGCTCTATACACAATTTCCTTTCAGAAAACAAACCTGTTTTAAAAAGTCCGATAACCCGTAAAGTGCTCTCTAGTTAACATTCCAGTTTTACAATTCTGTTTTCTATGATGTTTCATACTCATACTTCTGACCTATTTGTTTTTCACCATGACTGGAATTCCATAGAGATGTATTAAAAGGCAAACTAGTTATATAGGGCAAAGAATAAATCACAAACACAAATGACTGCTTAATCGTTACCTACAGATGACAATACCAAGTAGCAAACAAAACCAAACCAGATTTGATTTTGTTATTTCTCTGCTTTAAGTTTCTTCCACAAGAACAACAAAAAATTGACCCTAGTTCTTTAATTTATAAGTTCCTTAGCATGACATTTAAGGCCTGTGTGCATCCTGGCCCCTTTAAAGTATTTCTTTCAACTCCAATGCCTTAGGTTTTCCCTACCACTTAGCACCCTTTTCAATTCCTGATTGCTTAGTTTCTAAACATGCCTTGCCC